CAGTAACTTCCACATTATCAATATTTGGTTGCTGATCACCATTTACAAAATCGTTATAGTAACACCTGTATAAAATCTAGTGATCACGGGCTATCTCATATAGGCTATTGCATATAGTAATGTGACTGTATTAATTTTTAATTTTTTTGACCGTAACAAGCAGACTAAAAGTTAAACATGTGAGTACCGTGGATACCAGTTTATTTGCTATGCTCATTAACGTAAAATAATGCTAGACATAGCATAATTGCTTTTATATTGACTTGTATTAAATAGCCTAAACTAAAAGAACGACTTGTGGATTGATGTGAACTTCATTTTAACTTCTTTTTGACTCACGGCTAAACAAAGGCAGAACGCCGTAACTCAATTTGAGCGTTCCAAACAAAGTGAAAGAGCCGTAACTGGTGTTATACGGTGTTCTGCCTTGGTTTCTCCAGGGCTTTTCAAAGTTACGGTTGAGACGACCCATTATTTTCTCGGAAAAACAACGAAATTGACTCAAGATACATGATAAAGGATGTCTTGAATGTCCCAAAAATATCAATAACTCATTTTCGACAAAAATCGAAGTTACGGTCTTTTGCCTTTGCACGGCAGAGTTGTTAAGGAATGTTATATTTTTTAAACAAAGATTTATGTGGTAACAGGATTGTGCTGTTTGTGTCCATGTTGCATGACACTAGTGCAGGGTATCCTCACCAGATCCAGGGGATTTGCTGCGGCGGGTGGGTCCTGGACTTTTACTACCAGGGTATCTCACAGGGGGAGCAGAACGAGGAGAATAGGACGACTTGAGGACCTGACATTCTGGACACAGAGACAATATAAAAAATTAGCAAGGCATGTATATATACGTGTCTCATAATATCTCATGATGCCTCTTTTGCAAACTTTTGCAAAAGATACAAGTAAAATTAGGAGCAGTTATTGTCTTTACTAATTCCAAATAATTAACCTTTTTGCCTGGTTGACTAATTGTTCACTACATTTCAAAAGTTTGGGGATTTAAAAAAAAATGTTGTTGAAAGAAGTCTCTTTTACGCTCACCAAAGCTACATTTATTTGATCAAAAATACAGTAAAAACAGTAATATTGTGAAATATTACAATTAAAAATAACTGTTTTTAAAATGTAAAGCTGAATGTCAAAGCTGAATTTACAGCAGCCATTAATTAAGTCTTCAGTGTCACATGATCCTTCAGAAATTCTAATATGCTGATTTGCTGCTCAAGAATCATTTCTTATTATCATCAATGCAGTAAACATTTGTGCGGCTTCATATTATCTGAAACTACAATACTTTTTTGTACCATTAAAAGCATGGTAGAAAAATATTCAGTTAAGGATCAAACGGAAGGTGAAAATTGTCATGTAAAATTAAATTTTGACTGTTTTTGGTGCAAGAAACCTAATAACAAAGCTTCAGGAGAAAATATATAGTTCACTAAATGTCTTTACTGTCATTTTTTGATAAATATCATGTGTCCTTGCTAAATTAACAGTATTAACTAAATATATATATTTTATATATTTATATTTTTTTGTGGAAACTGTGATATTTTCAGGATTCTTTGATGCATAGAAAGTTCATAAGAACAGCATTTATTTGAAATAGAAATCTTTTGTAACATTATACATGTATTTACTTTCATTTTTGATTAATTTAATGCATCCTTGCTGAACAAAAGTATTTCTTTAAAAAAAAAAAACTGACCCCAAACTTCTGAATGTAAATGTATAAATCTGATCATTTAAGCATGAGCCACCATCATTATGCACACAGACAGGAACAGTACATGTATACACACATCAAAACATGCTTGCATCAGGGCTAATATAGATGCATGTTAGTAAATGAATGGTATCTGCAGACAATTTCCAAATTCACATGTGCCAAGACTGTGAAGCTTTCTGCAGAGGCGTAATCAAATTGTCTACTCAAGGCCTATGAGAGCAGACCATCTTTCTAATGACAGCAGTGAGTGCAGAACTTCAGTAAGGAGTGACTCATACTGTACAGGAGCTGCTGGATCTGTCCTGTCGATTACACGCCACTTGCTAATGACGCCGAGCAGAGATGAATTAGCTGATGAGTACCAGATCGTCAAGTGATGAAGATAAAACAAGCCGAATGCCATTATTAAAATGCCATTACTGCCCAGCTAATTTGTTTCATGGAGCTTAATTTAAGAATTTAACAGCAGAATCTGAAAGAGAGTGTGTAATGAGTTCTTTAGTTACAGAAGATTAAGATTTGTGGTGGGCTTGCATTTTAAGGACACTCCACATCTGCTGCGGAAAAGAAAAGGTTGAGCAGTAAATACTGCCAGACGCAAACTTACCGTTTCTTTATATTTTTGGAAAAGTCCTACTTAACCTAAGTGGGGCAGCAAAGAAGAACTAGGACAAAATGCCAAGCAGATGAACTAAATTCACACAGCTATGAATCAAGTTATCAAGGGCGTGAGTGTGGTCAATGCTACAAGAACTGGAGGCATTTCAGCAAATGAGGATGAAAATTATAGACTAAGTTAAACTTTTTTATTTAGAACTTCACAGCCACAGAACACCTTCACTTCCCCACCTGCGTTACCATGTTCACTAGTAGACAAATGTAAACTAAACACTGAAGAATGTGAGAAACTCATAACAAGGTCACTTCCTCTGACAGTTGTGTTCTTTCTAGAAAATGAATGAATTTTTGCAACCTAGTGAATGAATGTGAATGAATGACTCCATTGTGGAAAATGTACTATTAAAATACTTTCACTTCTTTTTCTGAAGGTGACAACAGATAGTAAGTTAGTAGTATTAGTTAGATTGTATTGAAGCTGAAGATAAGTAACAAAACAAAAATTTTATAAGATTTATATATAATGTGTATATATATATATATATATATATATACAGTGGGTACAGCCGATCTGACTGAAGACATTTATTTATCCGATTCTTCAAAGAGAATTCAGGAAATATTTCAAATTATACACGAACAGGATGTAATCAAGGTATAAAGCATGTCAGACTGTTTACTCGCAAGCTCTTTGAAAATATGAAATAAATGATCCAGTCTGGGAGCCTAATATTACTGGAGTCTAATGTTATTGCCAACGATTGTCAAAGCCACCAGCCATCAAAAATGTCTCAAAAAGATTTCAAGAAAATATAACACAAATGTTCGGGTCAACGATTTCCCAGAGTATATATATATATATATATGACAGAAGCCTCTGATGCTCATTTGTTGAACAAGAAACATTTATTATTATCAAATCAATGCAAAAAAGTTTTGCTGCTAATATATATTTTTTTCCTGGAAACTGATAGATTTATTTTCAGGATTCTTTGATGCACAGAATGTTCATAAGAACAGCATTTATTTGAAATATAAATATTTTGTAACATTATAAATGTCTTTACTTTAATTTTAGATAAATTTAATGGATCCTTGCTGAACAAAAGTATTCATTTCTTTAAAAAATAAAAAAAAAAATCACCCCAAAATTTGAACGGTAGTGTATATTAATTATAATGCAAACAAATATATAAACACAAATCTAAATCTCCTGTAAATGTAAAATTCAAAATAGTCTCAGTTATTAAAAAGAAAACACTGAAACAAAAAGCAGACCTGCATAAGAGGCCTTTAAAGGGGTCATGAACTGGCTTTTCCACTTGAGGTCCACTTTTTTTACATTCAAAAACCACATTTTTGCATTTCAGGTCCACATATTTACATTCAAAAACATCAAAATCAATAAGTAATAGGTTCTTTTTTTCCCTGGTTTTGAGGCCGGCTCGAGAAATGCTTGGTTTTTATGGGCGTGCCGCACTTAAGACTTGGACGTAAACACCCACTGCTATGATTGGATAACAGTTTTGCATAGTTAACTACCGTTCTGTGTGCCTGTTTGACAAGCTACGTCCTTCACAGTTCAATTGGAGCCTTCTGTGACTTTGGTTAGACACGTACACATAATCAGGACATATCAAGCGATCTCTAACTAAGCATTGGTGACACATAGTACAAATATTTTTTACTCACATAAGTGTGCTGCGCCATTCCTTTCAGATCCAATATACTGTAGATGGAACAGCATTGCTTTTTAAGTCTCTCTGCAAATCCAGCATCGACCCACAAAGGAATCCACGGTGAAATGAAGCGAACAAACGCTCAATGTTTTACTCGCGTGAGCTGGAACTTCATTAAAAATAAAGTTCAACCACGCATTCCTAATATTTGAATCCGAAGGAAGGTTATGCAGCGACTGTGTTCTTCCACAACCAGGCACTGCACAATATTTTGCGATCTTTAACGACATGTTTATTGCTTGGTTGCTCGATCTGGTTTAGCGCCACTTATGTTATTTCCCTATACTATGTCATGCATGAATCAGTGGGCGGGGCTACAGAATTAGGCATTGATATTCTTCTGTGGAGGCGGTGTTTAACCTATCTATTACGCCATAGGTATGCACATTCCAGGATCTGGCGTTCGCTGGGCCTGGTGTCAATAAAAGCTTTTATTTCAGTAACAAGGACGTTTTCAGTTCTGAAACGTACAGGATTTTCTTTTAGTACGATGATCTCTTACATATCAAAAGCTCAAGTAAAAGTTGATTTCTCAATTCATGACCCCTTTAAAATAGTCTACAGGTCTATTAATGACAACCAGCTTTAGTAGATTAGATCAGTGATTATAAAAAGAAGTGTCCTAATGTTGTCACAATCCTTACTTTCTCTCTGTATTTTATATAAAAAAATATTGATTGACAGCTTATTGTTATGCTGAAAACTGCTGTCATTTTTCGGAGACATTTTCTTTTATTGGGATTTTTCCACACTCCCCTTTTCAGGACATACAACTCTGATCACTGGTTGTTTTTAAACAATCATGTACAATTAGTTAAATACTTATTTTTTTTATTATGAAGACAATTACTTTTATTGGCCAACACAGATGATTGGCTGATGAATCACTAATTAATATAGACAATACAATAACAGACCATGGCTATAAATGGGATAAGCCAATTAAACTTAATATTTCATAATTTGTATTGATTGCATTTTAAACAGTCAGGTATCCATATCCATGCTGATTACAGTGCATGGTGTGTTCCTAGATGTGTAGTGAAGGGATAAAAATATATTATTAGAGTTTAGTATGAGAGACATTTGTTTGAAATGAAGTTAGTGTTTAGCTGAGCCTACCGGTTATAAAGGCTGTGGAAGCATTACCACTGTGATCCAACACAAAATCGTCCTGCGCATAACGGTACTTCTCAGGGCCGCACGCGATGAATACGTCATCGTCCCCGAAAAAGTCTTGCAAACATGTAATCTGGACAGAGAGAGGAAGGGGTGGGGGAAGAGCAAAAGAGAGAAACACTGTTTGAGAAATGAATGGAAGTAACCATGTGACTGCTAACTGACGAACTGATAAAGCATGTTGTAGCTCACAATACTGCACTGCAGAATATCCAGACCAGGAGTTTGAAATACCAGTAGCTAGACTCAGACTGCGGATGGTTTGCACATTTTTTGCACAAATGGATTTAAACATAATAAAAAATGTGTTAAACAGAACTGGAGATAATACACTCTTATTGATAACTAAAAGCATGGTTGTAGAATTTTATCAATGAGGGGCATTCCTTTTCTATTGTGCTTTCAGCAGATTTCTGTAGGTGCAGATTCCATGTCGGCCAACCAATAGCTAAACACACATTTGAACTTTAAAACTGAGTCAGGATCAACTCGAATACAGCATGAAAATGGAAAACATCCAACTCAAATCCATCCTTTTTGGTATTTCGATATTATTCTACATGAGAGAAAAATAACTGGGAAGGCTAAACATGGTCTTTTAGATACTGAAACACTGAAATGCATTTTTTACAGAAACCAAAATTAAGGTTCCTCTTCAGGAACTCGAGCTGCGTCGGAAAACGCTAGGGGAACGCCCTTCAGCGTGACCGGCTCTGAACCTTCAGAGCCGGTCACGCTGAAGGGCGTTCCCCTAGCGTTTTCCGACGCAGCGTCTCATTCCTTCGAGGAACTATGGTTACATACGTAACCTGAGACGTTTTCATTTAGCTGAATTTTTTTTTTTTTTTTAATAATCAACTAATCAATCAATAATTTATTTAATACATGCTATTGCTCAAACTGAGTTAGATACAGGGATCGGTAATGCCAAATTGCCCCCCTGACCTTTGTCAATCATGGCCTCCTAATAATCCCCAATCACTTGATTGGCTTATGACTCTCTCTCCTCTCCACCTGTAGCTGGTGTGTGGTGAGCGCACTGGCGCCGTTGTCTTGTGGCTGCTGTCGCATTATCCAGGTGGATGATGCACACTGGTGGTGGTTGAGGAGAGACCCCCCCACATGATTGTTAAGCGCTTTGGGTGTACAACAATACACAATAAAGCGCTGTATAAATGCATCATTCATGCCACATTAAAGAGCATCAAAACAACATTTATTGTTTAAATTTTGTTATAAAATTGACAGTTTGAAAGCTGAGACTTTGGACATGTTCATACTTGACAGGTTTGATTCGATTAAAGTGAACTCTGGTGCAACTGTTGCTAGTGTAATTCATTTGAATAAGTGTGACCAGTGCCATCATTGTTGCACACCAAACAAGCGGAGAACCATCTTTTCAGTTCACTTCCGAACAAACTCTGGTGCAATTTGATTGAAATTGTTAACGGAACACAAAGACAAATCGCTGACAAGACACAGGACAAAATGCCCAAGCATACCTGGTTCTTCTTACCAAAGGAGCTACAGTTTGTTGCCCATTACAGTTCGATACACTGACACAGTCAAAACACGCCATCTGACAAGCACTAATTAAACATCACTGTTTCAGTGATTTCGGCCCTCCAAACTATTTCGTCTGAAACCAAAAAAATTCATTTTTGGCCAAATAATTTGGGCTGGTGCAATTTTAGTGCATCACTACTTTTAGATAAATGTATCAACTCTGCATTAAGGCTGAGTAATATACAGTGCGTCTCTAGGAATACAAAAAGGAAACATTTTGAGAGCACATGCAAACACACCCACATACACTTGCAACTGCAGTGGCAGTGGGCAAAGAATGATGCCCGGATTTCAGCCCACTCCTCCACTCATGAAGGTGGGCAGCAAGAAACAGATGGTCCCAATGTGGAGCGCCATCAAACACACACACACACACACACACACACACACACACACACACACTTCCACATGGAATTGAGAGAAAGATCAGACAGATGGAGAGGAAGACAGCCCTCTCTTCCCCTTCATGAGCCTGACACTATACAGAGAAAGACACAAAAGGCCAAGAGAGAATTGCTCCAAGATCTCTCTTGTACTTTATTAACAGTAAGCTAATGATAATGAGCTATTCAACAGCCTCTTGTGGCAATGAGGTCTTTAAATATCCTCACTGCACACATAAAAAGACATTGCAACACAACTGAGCGCAAGCATTTCAGCCTCTTTGTGCTTCTGTTTAGATTTTTTTAGCAAATTCGCATTATTAGCATTATAATCTAACTGATTAGCCAGTCATAATACTCTTATTAGTCACTTTAAAATCACACATTAAGCACATTTTTAAAGTAACATCCTGAAATGGTTCTCTCTGAATCACATACAAATCTGAACTGAAAGGAATCTACATGGCCAGTCTGTGGGATGGATCAGTATTCCCATCAATCAGCAGATCAGAGGAGCATATGGGCCCAGTTGTTGGCCTGAGCACAGTAACAGACTAAATCCACACTGGGAGACTATTAAACAAGCCTGAATCATTTTAGCTGATATCTTGGATCTGTAAAATTAAGTACAGTCTGCAATGGAGCCAAATATGTTTTGGTAAATTGACTGATGGAAACACAAGATACATATTTTTGTCAACCGAGGTTCAAGAGCACATATACTGTCAGAAAAAAAGCCCAAAAATAGGACCTTTAGGGGTACAACAGCTTGTCACTAAAGCACCAGTTCTCAACCGGGGGCCTCAGCTCACTTCCAAGATGGCTTAAAATGATTTAAAACAAGACAAAACAAGCTTTAAAATAAGCTAAAACAGCTAAAACTCTATGTGTAAGCTTACATCACATTTTTACTTTAATTAGTTCCCTCTACATTAAATCGTTCTCACTGTCTTGGGATACCTGGATAAATGAGGGATTTATAGACCTGGAAAAGTCATGGAAATCATAAAATAAAAAGTGGAAATGTACATTTTATAAAGTATATAATTTTTTCTAGTTTTCTCAAGCTCTAACATATTTTATAGGGTAGAAATATTTGTGAGTAAAAAATAATTTGGAAAAAAAAACACTAATTACTGTAATCAGAAGTGTAAACCCTGAATAATATTCAGTTATTGAAACTTCTTTTAATATACTGCCATTCCCAGTGTCTGTAAAGTTTGTAGAAGTACCATACCATAGGGGCCTTTCAGCAAGTTACACCTGCTATTCCATTCAACATGCAAAAATTAGTTTGTACCAATTTTGTAAGATGCCAAAAAATGACATGGACAGCATGAAAAATACTGCAATGTGTAGATTTAAACAGTTAAAACTATGTTAATGCTGGTTACCAGTATACTTGGGACATTTCCAAGCTCTCACCCTCAGTACTCGCCCTCCTGTCATTCCAAACCTGTCTGAATTTCTTTCTCCTGTTGAACACAAAAGAATGACTAAATGCATATATTTTGAAGAATGTGGGTAACTAAACAACTTCTGTTCCCTGTTGACTATGGAAGTCAATGGAGACCATCAACTGGTTACACTCTTTAAATCTCTCAAATGTCCTTCTTTTATGTTCCAGGGAGGAAATTCAGTCACACAGGTTTGGAATGACAGGAGGGCGAATATGAAGTAGAGATGGTTGCTTGCAGAAGCCATGCATGCTGGTGTTTTGTTGCAGATCTATGACTCGACCCCCTGAACTTTCCAACTTTCTCTTGACTTGTATCCTGCTCTCTCAATGGTTGTAGGTCGTCGCCGATGTCATTTCCAGTCAAAACACATTTCACACTGCAGGACTGTGAGTTGCCGACAGGTCCAGATATTTAACATGCCAAATATCTCACGGGCATTGGCAACGCATCGGGGCTTCAGATCGGAGGAGATCTCCCTCGTTTCACTGATTGGCCCGTCAGGAAAACCCCGGTGCTCATGATGGCAAGTACATGCTTGGTGTTCACGAATACTAGAATAAACAAAAAGAGGCATGATGCATGTGCAAAAAATGTTACCACATGTTGCCAACTTTCTCAGTATTTTGGAAAGTTTTAAGTATTCTAAGCAGCTGCTAGGTGGTTACGATAGTTGTTAGATGTATAAAGTGACTGTATTATTATAATCAACATTACAAATTTCTAAACAAGTCTTTTACTTATTTTATTTTAAGTTTCTTACAAGGTGCTCATTAAGACTTGTATTATTAAGCTCCTTTAAGCCTTAAAGTACAGGCCTGTGCTAAGAGAGACCTGAGAGGGTGCTGAGACTAATAACAGCCCTGCTTCATTTGGCTGACAATAATGAAGGGTGTAAGAGCTGCATTGCTCTACACTGTGTCAAGACAGAAAGAACGAAAAGATTTAGAAATATAAAGCATATAAATGGGATGAGGGGAGGAGTTTTATGCTCAAAACAAAGACATGCTATGGTTCTGCCATTTGGGTTCTTATTTGACCAGAGATCCAATGCAGAGTACATGAATGTCAACAAAAAGGAAAGGACAATGCAATATCAGAGTATTAGCCAAATAGACTTGAAGGGGGAAAAACAGAACAGCACCTATAGCTCCAGCACTGATTACTGCTAATGTGCTGTTAGCTTTGCTGTTTCTTTTAAGCAAAATCGATTACTCAGAGGCTTTGAATGAGCAGGACCCTTCTAGGCTTAGAGGAGTTTGTCAACCATTAGCTACGAAAGCAGAGGAGGGGCAGTTAAGGAAAAAGGTTTTCCTCACATCAGCCATTAATAATGGATGCCATTAAAGGCAGTGTTGACAAATGAGCCTTTCACAGAGAAAATCCAGTTACGATTATGTGTTCAGCAGCTGATACGTTTAAAGTCATATGTAATGGGACGCTTCCGCTGCCAAGTCAAGTGGGTTTGAAATTAATCAAAAATCAAGTAAAAAGCACAAAAATCATGGATTTCATAAGTCTTCAATATTGTACGAATACTATAGCAGGAAGAGACACAGAATAGACCTAGGATGCCTCGGGGGTGAGTAAAACACAAGCTAATTTTCATTTTTGAACTAACCCTTTAATGTTTGTTTTTATATACTATGCAATTGTTATACTCACTA